AGGGAAGTGGAGGGGAAGGTTTTGGAGGTATTTTGTTGGAGGGGAAAGGGAGAAGGTGAGGAAACTCTTCTTCGTATTTGGGAGAAATAAATTTGGAAGAAGAGAATTTGTTAGGTAATTATAATTAAAATCACTTTGAGATATGACGAATTCAAATAATTGACTTGATATTTATTTTTAATTGGGTTTAAATTATTATTTCGTTAATTATCCTTCAAAACCTTCCAATTTAGGGAAATTTAAAAATTGTGCATTTAGAGGGTTTTGGAGAGTTACAAAAGCCCTCCAAAACCTTCAATTCCCCTCCAATTTTTTGAACTCCCAAACATGAAAAAAGGAGATAAACCCCCATTAACATCCCCTCCGCTCCAAAAATCAACTTCAAAACATACCCTAAGGCATGAAATCACAATTCGCTACACTTTATTTTTTATAGGAAAAATTACTTTAAATAATACCAACTATCATCCTTGAACCAATAATAATACAAACTTCGGAAATGACTTTTAATAATACCAACTATATGAATGTAAAACAAAAATAATATGGAGTCATTTTTTGACAAAAAATCCGATCATTTAAGACATCAAAAGCCAATGACAATCCATCAAATAAATGATATTTGGAAATATATTCACTAATTAGATATTTTTATATATGTTTTTGATGAGTTAGATGGTTGAATTTTTAGTAAAAAGATGCCCTATATCATTTGTGGTCTATATTCAAATAGTTGGTATTATTAAAACTTATTTTCAAAGTACGTATTAATCTTGGTTCACGGAAGATAGTTTGTATTATTTAAAGTTATTTTCCCAGCCTAATAAAATAATAGGTTAGCTCTAAAGTGAATTATGCTCACTTAGCCTCTCTTCCCCTTAACAAGTTAACAGCAGGGGTGTGTGACGAGTTCTTAGAAGCTGTTTTGTTCGTCTTAATCTTATTACTTATTGTTTATTCTTATTTTATTCCGATCATATCAAATCAGAAAAATTCAGATCAGATCAGATCAGATCAGAATCATTCAGATCAGATTAGAAACATTCAGATCAGATCAGAAACATTCAGATCAGATCAGAAACATTCACATCTGATCAGGAACATTCAGATCAGATCAGAAACATTCAGATCAGATCAGGAACATTCAGATCAGATCAGGAACATTCAGATCAGATCAGAAAAGTTCAGACATGATTTATCCCTTTTATTATAATAATAATTATAATAATATTAATAATAATTATAATTATTATTATTATTAGCTATATTTATAACTAGTGTAATACATATAATAATTATACCTATTATAATTCTTATAATTATAATTATAATTTTTTTATAATTATGATTATAATTATAATTATATTTAAATTATATATGTGTAATTACATTTCTAATTATTATAATAAAAATTAAAATTAAAATTATAATTTTAGAAATATTTAAATCAGACCAGATCAGAAGGATTCAGATCAGATCAGGAACATTCAGATCAGATCAGGAACATTCAGATCAGATCAGACCAGATCAGAAAGATTCAGATCAGATCAGATCAGAAACATTCAGATCAGATCAGAACTTAAAAAATTCAGATCAGAAACATTCAGATTAGGTGAAGAGAACAGCTTCTTAGTCAGCTATTGGGATAACTTGGTTCAAGAGGTAAAGAATAGAAGCAATTTTATCAAAGAGCTAATGGGGTGTTTGGTTAAGAGCTTTACAGCCGTTTTTGGCTGATTTGACTATTATTAGGGTTTTGACCAGATTTTGACTATTATTAGGGTTTTGACCAGATCAAATAGCCAACATGTGTTTTTGGTAAAATAGCATTTTGATTTGGCTTTTAGACTCAAACAGCCAAAATGAAAAACGCCTATAAAGGGAGCGTTTAAGAATGGACGTTCGGTTTCCGTCGTAATAATCCCAAGATTGAGTCCATCCATTTTCTTCAATCTGACTCGCAGGCTAGCTTCTTCTCGTCAAAGGACCATCAAATCATCAATTGAATAAATTACTCCGTACTAGAAACCATAATCTATTACGAGAAAATTTCCTTTTGTACACGTTTTTATACCCATCAGTACACGCTTGTGTCTGTGAGAGTATTTTTTTTGTTTGTGAAGCGCAGTCCAAAAACATAAGTGGACTTGTTTTGTCAGTGAAATTTTCCACAGACAAAACAAGCCAGCTTTTGTTTGTGGACTGCGCTTTACAGACAAAAAATAACTCTCACAGACACATGCGTGTACTGATGGGTATAAAAACGTGTACACCAAGTATATTTTAAAGTGATCAAAGTTGTAGAAGTGCATCGCTTTGGTAAAAGTGTAAAACTCTAAACTATTGAAACTGTTAGTCAAACTCTTTAAAAAATCATTAATACATGAAAAATTGTTTAAAAGAATTATTACTTGTGTAATTAAGCTTTTATTTTTAAATCATTTAAATGTTTTAAGTAACTGTACGTACTAATAACATAACAAAATGTATGATACATAAAGTAAATGAAAAAAATTAATTATGTCCTTAAAAGTTACTCCGTATGTGGCAAGTTATCAGCTGAGCGTAAACAATCATTATTACCAAACACTAAATTATACAATGCTAATAATATCAGTCAATCAAAACAGTCAACAGAAAACGTTGTCATAAATCAGCTTACACAATCCGCTAACAGCCAACGGTCAACAATCAATTGCCAAACACCCCCAATAAGTAACTAACTAAACGCCTTTCTTCGAACATTTTGAGCGCATCTCCCTCCCCTACTACAGTTAGTGTTCAAAAGCCCAAGCATATAATTTCTTCGGCAACTTTGCCGGGTCTTAATCTTCTTATGCCTTTAAATAGTCGGAATGCACCTACGTGTGCCGTACTCCTCTATTGAATCAGTTCTAGCAGTTGAAACAGTTGAATCGGGTTTGTCGGTTTCATCCGTGGAAGCAGTTGAATCGGGGAAGCTGCCTTGAGTGTTGACCATGAACAATCAAAATCAACAAAAGAAACATGGCATTGATATTCACTTTATAGGAATGAGGGGATTATACCACAACATTCTTAAATAGTTGCAACATTAGAAATTTTATACTCCCTCCGTCCCAATTTGTTTTTGCAAAGTCAACATTTTCCGGTCAACCAATAATAAAAGTCAATCATTTCTATTGATAATTAATTCAATTTTTAATAATTAAAATTTACATATTCATAAACTAAATTCAAATCTCTTCAAAGTTGTAAACTCCAAATTAAAATATAATTAAAAATTGACATCTTAATAAAGCGAACAAAATGAAACTGTTTGACCAAGAAAAGTCAAATTTGCAAATTATTTTGGGACGGAGGTAGTACTATTCATGTGATTTGCTTTGACAACATTTTACTTACAAATGCATTAGAAAATTGTCGCTCCTACCACCATAGACATATTTCCTTGATACAATGTTATGTTTATTTCCATTATACAATATTATGTTTATTTCATCCCCATCTTAATAAATTAAACAACATTAGTGTCATAGTGAAATTTCACCTCATTCTATTTCGGAGTTCTATTTCAAAAGTATTAATACACTTAAAATTGAAGTTGTACGCAATGGTGCATAAAGATGAATATTTTACACTTGAACATACGGAGTATGAATAGCCAACTCATTACTACCTTCGTGCCCCTAATATTGGGACAGAAAGGAGTGGCGTGGTTTTAAGAAAAGTGGAATTATGTGGTTGATAATGAGTTGATAAAGCGAGAATAAAGTAAAATCGAATTAGAACCACACAAATATTACCAAACATGGTATGGGACAAAATTAGTGGGACGGACGCAAAAGGGAAAATGGAACAATTATACTAGGACATAGGGAGTATATAATTGCACTTACTCCATATTTTTTAAAAATGTATTCCTTATTACAATAAGAAACACGCCTTCTTTAACAATTAACATATTGAATATCATTCCTCTTCCAAAACGCATTGACATTATCCCATCGTGCAACGCGCGTTACAAAAACTAGTAACTTAATAAAAGTCTTTATGAAGTGATCTTGTGAATGGTTGAAATGTCCATTTAGCCACTCTAAATCATTACCTATGTCCGATCCAATAGGCAATAGTTATCATCCAATCAAATTATTTGTGTGAAATAGTTGCATAGTCACACATATAGATCACGTGAGCCCACATTAATCCGAATTAGGGCCACATAATGTCTCTTATGTGATTGCACACCCACTTAATGAAAGCGCATGATCTTGCATTTTTCATATACTTCAATGATTTTAATTGGATTGATTTTAGCCCCAATGAAGACAACATTAGATTTAATTAGACTAGATCAGACCAAATAAGACTAAACCAGATCAGACCAACGTAAGCAATTGTCAAAAACACATAAAATATACATCTGTTAGACCAGTTCAAATCAAACCATATGAGACCAGACTTAGTCAGATCAGACCCAAAAGTTTAAGGCCAAATAAAAGCATCCTTATTGTAGACTTTTCCGCCTCACATAATAATACAACAACACTATAAATAGAAGTTACTCATGAACCTCTATGCTAACTCTATAAAAAGGTACACATGGGAAGGAATGTAAACAAGAATTTTATAACATTCATCTTGTTATCATAAAGAAAGTGTCTTATATTAAATAATCAGAACTTGGGCAAGTAACAAAAAAAAAACAAAGGTTTACTCCCAACCACCAGCCCTCAAACCAGACTCAGAGACAATCACCACTACAAGAAATATTACATTTCTTGACACACACATTTGTTGGCACATTAAAAAGTGTTAAAATAGCTAACATATATTAACACTTTTGTTTGACAAGATAACTACTCATGAGTTTACATAATAATATTCACGTATAAAAATTGGTTCTTATGACTTAAGAGAAAATCAAAGCATGTAACTGCTTGTTTTGTTGACTCACTTTTCATTCGCCGACACATTTTAGTTTTAAAAATTCCTGGACGGCATTTCAAAGAAATAAAATGCCTGGAGAGTTATTTTTTAAAAGTAAAAGGAATTCAAATACAAAAAAAACAGAGAATGCACGGTGCAAACTAATCGGTGCTTTTGGCCGGAGCAAATCGAGCAGACCTAAGTTCTTCAATCGGTGCTTTCGATTGTCGTGGACTCATTATCAGCCATCACACGAGGTAGAAGATCATCCTCGGACTCCTCGATCATAGCGGATTTGTGCCATCGCAAATCTTCCATCAGATTTTCTCCGCAGTCAAATTTCCAGAATCATCCTATTTCCGTCTGTTAGAATAAATCGGTATTTCTACTACTTTTTCGTGATTGCTTAATTCTACTTGAGAGTATGTCTACTCGACTGATGTGGTCATTCCTACTACAGTCATACCTATGGATGCTTAACTGGTCTAATTTATACTTGAGAGTATGTCTGTTTGGATATGGATGCTTAACTGATCTAATTTCTACTAGAGTCAGTGTCTACGACTCTTTAATTAGTTTGTTGTGAGAGGATTGCCTTTTTATGAATTTCTATATAGATGTGTTTAATTTTGTTTACTCTAATTGGCATATATGGCTTCCATTATTTGATAAATTGTCCAATGGAATAGTAATAGGGTAATTTGAGTTTGCACCCCATATTATTGTCTAAATTGGACTTTGCACCCCGTTTTTAAAAATCTTTGTTTTTGCACCCCAACCCTATATGAAAAGACAAAAATGCCCCTCCATTGACAATTCAGTTGACCTTCAACATATTCTCGATTGAGGGCATTTTTGTCTTTTCATATGAGGTTAGGGTGCAAAAACAAAGATTTTTAACAATGGGGTGCAAAGTCCAATTTAGACAATAAAATGAGGTGCAAATTCAAATTATCCCATAGTAATATTGATGTATTGGTCTAATAACAAAACACAATCATATGTACTTTTCATGACTAGCTTTATATACAGAAACAATTCATCTATGCATTATTTTACTTGTAAACTTACTTGATGTATCAATACGATTTTGTTTGTCCTTAGTTAGGTCACCCTTCTCCGGCTGACATGGATCACTAACTAGGCTAGATTACTTTGATAGAATGGTAATTTTTTGAGATACTACATAAAGTAGTTAATTAGCAGGAATGGAATATACTATATAGAACCAATCGATTCCTAATTGTCTTTACTTATTTTAAGTTTATTGCAATTTTACTTGTGAGTGCAGGGGTGCAGGCATACATATTTTTATGTTGTTTGTACTAGTGAATTTTGAAAATAATGTAGGCTATGGTAATGAGGGATGGCACTCAGAGGGTGATGGCGCTCAAGATTCTGAAGATACTTTTGATTGGAGAAATGATGATTTAGCCGAAGTGATAGGTCCAAAAAAAGAGGGGGAACTCGTTGTATAAGTTTTACAGTTTTAAATGTATACAAATATAGCCAGATCAGATTTCCTTGATGCAATCATTATTTATTCAATGGGTTGTCTAATTTAGTCAGGTCCCTTTTTGTGCACCAAGCTTCACATCGAGCATCTTCTAACCCCAACAAGGCCTGAGTCACTAAATATAGAGAAAAGAGACAACAAACCTTCAATATGAACTATGAGAGCCAGCTAAAGCGATGTAGGTTATTTGATCATCCATTATTCAATTTCACGTTAATCATTGTGTTTCATGTTTCTTTTTCCAGACTTCAATTATGGAAGGAAACAGGTGCCATCTTGAAGGTCAATTAACCATCCCTTATCTAATTATATTCTATTTCTTCCTTTTCAATCTGCCTCAATTGTTATTTATTGTGGCTTTCCTGGATTAGTTCTTGAAAATTGATATTCAGAAATTCAATTTGAATCATGGAAACCAGGAGCGAGTGAAAAGGTAAATTCATCATTCCTCATTTAATTTCACATTCTTTATGTTTCTTTCAATTTTAGTACTCATGACATGTATTGTGTAGTCTCCCAAATTATTTCCATTTTACCTAACAATATTCCTGTTCACACTTGGTAGGGCCTGTCAATAAAACATGCGGTTTTTTTAAAAAACATGTGGGTTTTTACATTATTCTATAAGATCTCAGTTTGCACTTTTAGTTTGATTAAGGTTGCACTTTGAGTTTTTACATCAATTAAGGTTGCCAAACATACAGTTTTATAGTAATCTATAAGATGTTACTTTACACTTTCAATTTGACTGCCCCATAAAAATAGGTAGTTATTACAAGTTTTGGCTATGGAAGTACTTTTCACTTACATTTTTTGGAATTAAAAACTTCGGTGATCTGGTCCACCATTAATATGAAAAACTCTGCACGACTATGAAATAATTTTTACTTGTATGGGCAGACATGTACTGTCATATACTCTGAACTACACTGGATACTCTTAAAGTTTTTTAGATTTCTCATCTACTTTAGATTTTTGTATTTTTGGCATTGGGGGAAAGGAGGGTAGGGAGAAATGAAATATTGTCCCCTAACCGTGCCATTGTTATGCTTTTCTACCTATATCTCATTTGATAGCTAAATCTTATTCATTCATTTCAGTTTCATTTAGGTTTTTAGATCTTTCTTCAAGTTTCATACCAAGAGGAATCGGGTTCCTTCATATTGTATCGCTCCAACAAAATTCCATTTTTCAAATGAACCAAGTAAGTTTTATGAACCATATACTTCCTCCGTTCGGTTATAAGTGCAACATGCACTTGGGCACAAAGTTTAAGAGACCGTGTAAAGCTGATGGACTTCACTATTTTACTGATTTAGTTTCATTAATGTAGTTTGTGGGTGGATTACAATGTATTTACTGATCATGTGATGAACTTTATTTTATTTCCGCACTGCTATTTTCAGGCCATTGGCGAATTGTCTCCGACCACATGATCGATCATCAATCGGAAGCCAACAACCCAGGAGCTAATTAGAGATTTAGTATATAGTTGATCTTGATTGAACAATCTAGTCTTGTGTACTTAATTTGTATTAGTCTTTTAGATACATTTGAATGATATACTAAAAACTTATTTCAATTTGCAAGTTTGAATACGAAAATAATCTCTAATACCCTACTTTGTTATTAGTTATTACAGGACATATAAGAAATATAAACAATTCTTATTAATTAGCATATTATCTACTCAATTTTCCTTGAGCATGATTTTTCTTGACACTCAATTTTGTGTCACAAAAGATCTATAGAGATTCACCAACACTTGTGCTTGAGTGTCAAGAATTATCTTTACTAACACCTCTCCTCTTGACACTTTTTGTGTGTGTTGGCAATTCCCTTAAGGAGGCTATCTTGACACTTTTTCCACTTTTTCTAACACTTTCTGTGTGTCAAGAAATGTTACTTTTCTTGTAGTGCACCTTACAAAAAGCAATATGACTCGCTAATCCTATAATGGGCATAAGTGAGCCAAAGACGGTCAAAATAGACTTTCCATCACGCACCCAAACTCCAGAAATTGACAAAAGTAAAACAAAAACACAACCAACATAACATCCTCACCAACACAAAAAAAAACTAAAAGAAAGCCAAAACTAATAGAGGTAAACTACTTCTCTTCCAAATCCTAGCCTCATGGCCGCTTCGAGGCAACAATTCATGAGGGGGGGGGGGGGGGGGGGGGTACCCCGCCTTTGCGGCTACCCTCAAACCAGGAACCACGTCTGACAATCCATCCATTGAACTCAGACATTCCAATTACCCACAAACAGAATAACAAAGCTAAACGTCGATCCCACAAATTCGGTCACATTTCGTTCCGAGAGAGAGATGCCGATCTCCATTGTTCCTCCTTACAACCTCCAACCGGTACAAAACAGCCATTGAGCTACAAACATAACATAATGTTAGTCAGAGAAAACTAAAGTCGCGCGCTTAAAGGGGCGGAAGAAAAACCCTAAGCGAAAGTTGCTAGGGAGAGGGAGAGACCCTTTGTGGCACTAGGATTGATAGCCGTTGAGCTCTTAAAGTCTGCGAAGCATTTTAAAGGTTCAAAATTAACAAATACTAGCCATATAAATGTCAAAACATAACATTTAAACGTGTCACACAAGTATCACATATTAAAATCAATATATATATATATAAAAGAGGAACTTTTTAAGAGCATACGACGCGCCACATAATCATGCCATGTCATCATATATTACAATTATTTAATTACTATTTATACATTTTATTGTTTTTATTACATTCTATTTTTATTGCATATTGATATGGAAACAAAAGATCGTATGATAGAATCCACCTTATTTGGTAGCTTTTTCAGAATCTACTACTTACTCCGTATTAATATGGATATTTATTAAAATATATATATAAGAGGAATTTTAAGAGCATCTGGCGTGCCACATAATCCTGTCATGTCATCATATATAACAATTATTTAATTACTATTTATACCTTTTTTTATTACATTCTATTTTTAATTACATATTGATATGAAAACAAAAAACCGTCGCGTATGATAAAATCCACCTTATTTGGTAACTTTTTCAGAATCTACTACTGACTCCGTAGTAATATGGATTGTTATTAAAATAAGTAATTATTGCAACCACAACAATAAGTAGTCATCCGTGCACATAGACTTTATTTAATTTAATTATTTTTATACTTTGATGTTTATTACATTCTATCTATTGAGAAGTGAATTATCTGTGTTTTGCGCACCTAACAAATAAATCATCCAAGTTCCTATCAATTTTGTTCTTCAAAGTTATTTTATAAATAAAGTAATAATAGTGTTCCATTTCCTAAAAAGTACGGAGTAATATTTTATTTTTCTAAACTCAATTTCTTGAATGTTTTCTAAACTCAATGCGATAATGACTAAAGTTATTAGACTTATATTTGCAATTGTGTTTATACTTTGTATTTTTCTGCATCATCATACCATTCTTTCTTAATTGTTGAGATAATGATGAAAATTATAACCTCAAGATTTTTTAACTTAAAAATGAAATTGATATATACTATTAGACATTCATATATGAAAACATTTAAAACTTCTGATCAAGTATCTTACCTTTATGAGGATGGAAATGAAAATTCATATCATACATATATGAATACGTTTAGCCCAGCAAAAAAAGTAAACATGTTTAGTTGTTTCTTTATTCTTACAACCACAATTTAGATTTTCCTTCACTTTTGACATGGATTTCTAATCTAAATTAGGAAATCTTCATACATTTAGCATGTTTTTAATTGGACTGGTTTCAGTCTTAGACAAGATCGGATCAAATATCAATTATTATTATTATTATTATTATTATTATTATTATTATTATTATTATTATTATTATTATTATTATTATTATTATTATTATTATTATTATTATTATTATTATTATTATTGTTATACATAAAATAGACATCTTCCAGACCAAGTTAGAAATGAACATGTCAATCTAATTAAAAATATCCTTATTAATGACATTTTCAATGTGACGAAATAAATGAGTAAATTGTAAAAATAATCCCTTTTTTACATTTCAATGTGACAAAATAATGAGTACAATGTAAGAGCTCACTAATAAATTTACAAATACTTATTTCATACCACATGTTGAATGAGAATTATTTAAAAATAGTTTTTTAGATGCTTAATGAAGTAATATAGAGGATGTGAAATTAATTAAGAAACTTTTGTATGAATTCTTTAAAATTGGGTTCATAACCATTATGTTTAGTTGAGATGCTTATGTAGAAGTCCAATTTAAATATTTTTCATACAAATTTGAATTACTTTTATTAATTATATATTATTTCAAAAATATCAAATATACTACAGTTAGCTAAATTATGTACTACCGTGCATCGCACGGGCTTGAAAGCTAGTATTACATAAATCCCGATTTTTTCCAACTATGTTTACAGAGTTTGAAAAATATTACGAATTAATTTTCATCCATCAGGATTCACTAGTGAAATTGATTTGGAGTTTTTCCAAACACGGTACAAATAATTGGGAAAAAATCGAGATTTATGTAATAATTTAATATCTCTATTATTTGTTATTTATGAACCTTATAACATTTTCTAATCTACATGAGCATTATGGAGTTGTACTTTACGTCAATTACGTTCCGTCTATTTTTTTTTGCAAAGTCAATATGGATCTTGAGGAGTAACCTAGTTAGAAATTATTCAAAATATAAGCAAAATTCTAAAATAAGACGAAATATGTTTCTCTCTAAAATAAGATTATAGTATTTCTTAAATAGGAGCGCGCGAGTACTATTTTAGGGAAAATAGTGCAAGTCCTATTTGAGAAAATTTACATCATCTTATTTAGGGGATTTTCTCTAACATCTTTTTATAATGCTTTTGTGTTATATACGAGTATATTATATGTGGCGAAGAAGTTCTACAATAAGCATACAAAGAACACGAGATCATATGTCTTCATTATGTAGGCGTACATTCACTCAAGGATGGTCGCGATTCACAATATATAGAATTGTTGTAGGTCTCACATGATTGATATGTACAACTTTTCAATAATTTGAGATGACTAAATTGGATGGATGAAAATAGACATGTGTGGAAGGAAAAATGCCAATCTTTTTTACATCTATTGAACATAATGAACAATTTAGAACGGTTAAACTGAAGGTTTCAATGGTTTACAAGAGCATTTCATAAAAGTTTTCATTAGGTTTTCATTAAGTTCTACGAGCAAAGATCTGAGTTTTTTCCCGGAATAATGCTGCATCAATAAATAATTCCCAAAATACTGTTGGGTTAAAAATAATTCCCAAAATACTGCTGGGATAACTGTGGTTAAGGAAAGCCGCCACTTGAAATGGCGGTTTTTCTCTACACAGTACAAGAGCCGCCACTTGAAGTGGCGGCTTTTCTTAAAGAACAAAGCAACCAACACATCTACGTAACATATATGCTCAAGTCTAACAATAAATAAAGTGGGACCCATCCAAAATTAAAAATCCCCTGTTTTCTTTGAACTGTTGTAACTTTTTTATTTGTACTCTGGTTGTTACAAAAAATATATCAATATTCATAATTTTTTATTATCTTTCATATGACACCAATATTGAATATATAAAATAAAAAAATAATTTAACACTAAAAATTACTATCTTCGGTCCTAAATAAACTTCTCGTACACTTTACGATACTTGACTGACGATAAAACAACCCGATCCATGTTCACACCCGATTTACTTTTAATAAATAAAATTTACATTTTCAGAAAATTTACATTTTCAGAAACTACATTAAAACCGCTATAAAGACTGATCAAGAAAATTTATAGCGGTTTTAATGTAGTTTCTGAAAATGTAAATTTTATTTACTAAAAATAAACCGGGGTGTGAACATGGATCAAGTTGTTTTATCGTCAGTCAAGCATCGTAAAGTGTATGAGAAGTTTATTTAGGACCGGAGATAATAATTTTTAGTGTTAAATTATTATTTTTATTTTATATATTCAATATTGGTGTCATATGAAAGATAATAAAAAATTATGAATATTGATATATTTTTTGTAACAATCAGAGTACAAATGAAAAAGTTATAGCAGTTCAAAGAAAACAGGGGATTTTTAATTTTGGATGGGTCCCACAACATTTGTTTTTAGACTTATACTTCGTATACGTTACGTGGTTGCTTTATTCTTTAAGAAAAGCCGCCACTTCAAGTGGCGGCTCTTGTACTGTGTAGAGAAAAACCGCCATTTCAAGTGGGGCTTTTCTTAACCACAGTTAACCCAGCAGTATTTTGGGAATTTTTTTTAATCCAGCAGTATTTTGGGAATTATTTATTTATGCAGCATTATTCCGGGAAAAAACTCCAAAGATCTAATATGCTAAAGAAATCGTAAAAACAAATTAAGAGCGCCTGATTCGATATCAAATATGTCAAATCATCAAATACGATTGAGAGACGTTTGTAGTGTGTTACAATTTTATTTTTATTAAATTACTACTGCATAAAAAATCGTTTTTTTTTTAATATTATGTTTATTGTAACATAGAGATTGCTTGAATATCATCTTCAGTTGTTTGTGGACCCCATATCATTGTAGTTTTGCCAGTTTGTTTCCTTCTTTGGTCCTTCATG